GCTCATGAACTTTTTGCCCAGGCTGCCTCGAACCACTCCTCCCAGTCTCAGCCTCCCATGTACCTAGAATTGCAGGCATAAGCCAATGGCATCTAGCTTGTCTTACTCTTATGAGAAAAAATAATTTCAATTAACTACCACCAAAAGAAAAAAAAATTCAGCATTCTTCTAACCACCTTTGCCATGTCAGCAAAGACCTTACAAAAGTAAATGCAATGTAGAAATATGTATTTGTTCTTCTTAGTAAGGTTTTGTTGCCCCTGTGTCTCTCACACAGCTTTTATCTTACTGTATTATCTCCACCTGTTTCCCTTCAGCACCTTAACACAAGGGCCATGGCTTATCTTAGTGTTATCTATAGCACTTAGCCCCATACCTTAAGCCTACAAAAGGTTAAGAAGCATCTATTGGGTGAATATGGACTTTAATACTTGTTTTGGGAGGTTTCTTTGGTGCTGGGAACCGAACTCAACCTCACGTGTGCTACTGTTCTAACACTGGGCTACAGCCAACCCTTAATGTGACTACGTACAATAAGAAGTGTGTCCAGAAATTTGCTAGAAAAGATTCATTGTTTTCACTTATCACCTGTAGGGCACTATGAAATATAATTGCTTGCTTCAAAAAATAAGGATTTAAGATGCATAGGTGGATGGAGAGATGGTTAGATATGTGATAAAACAAAGCAGAATGTTAATTATGGAGTCTAAGTGGTAGGTATGTAGATGTCTGCTGTACAACAGCTGCACAATTCTATCAGCTTTTTGCGTTTGAGAATTTTCATAACTACATGTTGGGAGAAATGTAATTATTACTATGATTATCATTATTTTGCTTAAATAATAAAATCATTTGGCAGACTGATATGGCTGTCCACTGAAGCTATTCCCATTAACTTATGTAAATGAATAAAGCAACATGAAACTGGAATATGTTTTTTGAGAGTCTTGCACATCAGATTTGGGAACAGTATTTGTATTTACCTAATCAAGATAATGGTATACACTTCAATATAATTTTAAATGATGGCTAAGTTAGGAACAGGAATGACCAATAACTAGATCAGGAATAGACTCTTGATTGCTGTGTTGAGAACACACCTAGGATAGCTCAAGTTTGGGGATCCATGGGACAGGAGGTAGGTGACACATCAGCAAAGCCCCCAACTAAAGCTGAAAGTGAGAGAGATGACTCCGTATAGAGGTCAACCAGTGGCTAGTTAAGGGCTTAGAGCAAGGGCACTGAAGTCTCAGCTAAAGCAAGCAGAATGACACTGGCCACAGCATCTGGAAGTCAGTTTCTTGAGGCTTACCCCAATAGATGATCTGGCAAAAGACAAAGGCTGAGTGTGCAGGGAAAGTGCATATAGTTGGGGAAATGAGGCAAGTTCCAATAAAGAGTGTGCACACATCAGGCTGTTAGTGACCTGTTTTTATGCTCTTCTTGTCCTTACACATTTCAGTAATTTTCTGAGTGACACTGTTTGTCCTGGTACAGGACCATAGGATGGGAACAGAAATAAATGTATGTTCCTGACTACAGAGAGTTCAGAAACTATTGGTGGTGTGTGTGGGGACAGGAAAGATACAAACTAAAAGTATTGTTGTGGTGAGATTTAGGTTTGAATTAGTCACCACTGGAGTCAGTGGAGAAGCAAAAGAGGGAATGATCAATCAGTTCTACTAGGAGGAAGATCAGGAAAGCTTGAGAGGCTCTGTGTGGTGGTTCATGCGTATAATAACAGATAGTCAGTAGGCAGAAATAGGAGGACCATGGTCTGAAGCTGGCCAGGGAAAAAGCATAAGACCCTATGTGAAAAATAAGCTAAGCAAATCAAAAGGATTGTGGTCTTGACTCACTTGGTAGAACACTTGTCTAGCAAGCTGAGGCCCTGAGTTCAATCTTCAGTACTGCCAAAGGGAAAAGAAAAAGAGGGAAAGAAGGAAGGAAGGAGAAAGGTTGGCTGATAAGAGAAGATGTTGCTTGCTGAGTTGTGAAAGATAAGTATTTGCTGATGAGATCCACTAGGAAAAGAGGTTTCAGGAAAAAGGAGGCCATGGCTGGAAAACCATTGAGGGTGTGGAAGCTCCAAGTGCTTTAATGTGGCCAGACACAGGGTGGGATGGGCAAGTAGTGAGATGAAAGTAGAAGGAAGGTCATGGTGCCCATGCAGGACCTTAGCCAATGATTTAAGGTGAGATACGGAGTTTGGACTTTCCGGATACATCGAGAAAATAACTGTCCCAGACAGGAACTCTGGGGCTGTCTGCCCTGTGTTCAATCCCATTGTTTTATAATTTCTTTCCTCCATTGCTATCCCACTTGTAGTCAGTAGCTGGAATCCATGAGAATACTTGTAAAAGTAAGTAAAAGTAAAAGTAAGTAAAGCCCTTGCTTTTACTTCATCTTCCCTTAAGCCATAACAAATGGGACCACAGTTATATAGTTTACTAAAGCTAGTCCAACTACATCTCTTTCCCAGGAATTTGCAATTGGGATTGAGATTTTTCTCAGTCTGGGTCACTTTAAATTTTGGGTGAGGTTCATGACTATGTGAGCAGTGTCCATGCACAGGTGATGGCCTCTGTGTCCCTAGATTAAAGCAATGAGCCCACAAGAATGGCAGATATCTTCCTCTTGTGGTTCTAGTCACAGCTCTGGGGAGGCCTGAATTCGCTTCCTCCATGGGCAAACTGGTATATTACTGTATCCTTTTAGTAAACTGCCTTTTCTTTAAGGTCTTCAGTTACTTTAGTTGTTGCACAGACAAAAAGAGGACATTGGCAGTTGTGCAATTTAGTTTGATTGGTTTGGGTAGCACATGTGGAAGGCTGTGTCTCATGGTTTTAAGAGTATATAAACCATTCGGTCTCTGTAGGAAGTTCAAATGGTTTTAGGGACCCTAGTTTTCTGAGCTACTAGGTCTGAGACTGTGGTTTACAGTATTGTTGTTGTTGTTGTTAGTGTTATTTGTGTGTTGAGCCAGGGTCTCATTCTCTAGGTCAGTCTAACCTTGTACCTGCAATCTTCCTGCCTCAGCCTCCTGAGTGCTGGGATTATAGGTGTGTGACATCAAACCCAGCTGAACAAAGTTATTACTGTAAATATTAGAGCCATACTAAGAAAACGGTGAGATTAAGTTTCTTTTGTGAAAGAAATAAAATATCTGCCAAGTCTGGAGGATGGTATTTTCAAGCATTTTGTTTGTTTTCACTGGCTGCTGTGTAGTATATAGTTATTTTTGAAGTATTTTTGGTTTTGATGGAAGTAAGCTTGGTAACAAGCTATTGTAGGATGTATAGCTATTGAAAGATGCATTAAGTTTTATTTTAAAGATGTCCATATATATTGTATACATCTGTTCTTATAGGTTGCTTTACTGGATTGCGCACAGATGTCAACAGAACCTGTTCTGTCAAGTCTGTATGAAACCAGAGATGTAGAAGTAGCTCGCTGTGGGGCTCTGGCACTGTGGAGCTGTAGTAAGAGTAACACAAATAAAGAAGCCATTCGTAAAGCTGGTGGCATCCCTTTGTTGGCTCAGTTGCTGAAGACTTCTCATGAAAACATGCTCATTCCAGTGGTGGGGACACTGCAAGAATGTGCATCAGAGGTAACCAAACTAATTCTGATTTTCTTTGTTTTCTTACCTTGACTTTCTTTAGTCAAGAAAATAATTTTTAAGATTATGATGACTATTAAGGATTTTTTTCAAAATGTCAGCTTTTTATTAGAAAAAGAAAATTGAATTGTATTTTCACTAAATCAGTACCTGTGTGATATAGATTTTTAAATGTTAACTAATTCTCTTATTCTTGTACAGATATGTTAAGCTGCAACTTGGTGCTGTTCACTTAGAAAATTTGTTCTTTATAATTATTAATAAATATAAATAGATACATTTATCCAGGCATTATTCACACATCAATATTTAAGTTTCTATTCATAGGAAAACTACCGAGCTGCAATCAAAGCAGAAAAGATCATTGAAAACCTCGTGAAGAACCTTAATAGTGAGAATGAGCAGCTTCAGGAGCACTGTGCCATGGCCATTTACCAGGTGGGAACAACTTCGCTCACAGCTGTTGGTTGCTATGTATATAGCACATGTTCTCCTCCGGGGAGGAGCCTCTGGAATACCAGGGATGTTCCTGTTTGTAGAGATCTGAGAGTCACTCTCTTGTGATAATGGTAGATAATGTATTTATATTTGTCAGAGAGAAACCTGCCTCAGTGTATCTAATTATTTACATTCCTATAAGATACATATGCGGTAGACCTTTGGTAGCCGTTGGTGTATGGTTCCTAGAAGACCACCATTGAGGAAAACCTTGCATGCCCAGGATGCACAGAGTTGAGCTCTGTACTGTGAACACTTGACTCATTTTCCCCATAATGCTGGCCAACTTCTGCTAAAGTCATGCTGCCTTTCAACACATCTTAACTTGTCACTTGATCACTTCAGTTGAGCACATGAACTTTTACCTTACTTTGGGAGCACCATTTGTTCCTTGGGAAGCAGATTTTCACAAAATTAAGGGCAGGGAAATACTCAGCAGATCATGCAATGATTTAAACACACGGACAATCACTTGGGATTGACTGAGAGCTCCTCCACATCCACTGAGCTGTGTAATGCAAGTGTGGGGATTAAAATATTTTAATTTTTGAATTTTTTTGACTTTTTAATGTATACTATTAATTTTTTGCTGTGCTTGGTTTGAGCTGTGTGTAATAAATCTGCAAATAAGGCAGGCTTACTGTATTTCTTATTGTTTCCTAAAACAATTCACTTAGAATGAAATAGTCAAATAAGTACATGGTGACCCTCTATTGCTTTATGCATATTCTATTCAAAGACAGAAATCTTGGGATATTTTTCTCCTACCAGGACAATATGAATGAATGAATGAGAGAGAGAGTGTGTATGTTTCATCTTTTTATGAGCCTATTTATTTTAATCTCTACTAAGTTTTGTGGATTATAAGTTTCCTAGTATTTCAGAAAACATCAAAATGGCCAAGATGGAAAGATGCCCCGGTTACTGTGCACGCCAGTTTTTACCTTATCAGAGAAGACTTTCTAGAGTAATGCATTTAGAATGTGCAAAGTGAGAGAATTCACTAAAAACACAGAGTAAGAGGACAGACTCATTTCTTCTAGAGCTGCCATAACAAAGCACCACAGACTAGGTGGATTAAACTAAAAATCAGCAGTGTATCTCCTCACAGTCCTGGAGGCTGGAAGTCCACAATCAAGGTGTCAGCAGGGTTGGTTTCTTCTGAGGTCATTCTCCTTGGCTTGTTGTCTCCCTGTGTCTTCACATGATGTGCCCTGTGTTGTGTCCATAAGAGCAGCCATTGGATCAGGAGGTATCTCAATGATACCACTCAATCTTAATTTCTTCTTTGAAACCTTATCTCCAAATTCAGTCACATTCTGAGCTGCTTGGAGGCAGGACTTTGATATGAATTTTGAGAGGACATAGTTCAATCCATAGTAAGGATGTGTGTATGTGTGTGTGTGTATGAAAAATGAAAGGAATGAATCAATTCTAGATACAATACATATATACCTGGAAATGTCATAATGAAACTCTCTGTATAGGTATCTTATTTATTTTTAGTGTAAAATTAAAAACAATTTGTTATTGTTGTACTGGGAGTACATTCTGACATTTACAAAGGTTCTTGCAATATATCATAGTTAAACAAACAAAAGTCTTTTTTCCCTAAAAAACAGAAAAGAAGGTAAAGTACGTCTTGTCTGGGGGTTGGTACCAGTGTGAGGGTGGAGGGTGGATGTGATGGAAATCTTATGCACTCATGTATACAAATGGAAAATGAGACCTGTTGAAACTGTTCTAAGAATGGGAGGGATAAAGGAGAATTATGGAAGGGGTGAATTCAACTAAGATATGTTGTAAGCACTTTTGTATGGGTCACAATGTATCCCTAGTCCAATAAGAATATGATAATAAAAAAATTTTAAAGGATATATAGCCTTCACACACATACACAACACACACACATGCATGTATCTATGTATGTATACCGCATATAAGAAGTCGTGTTTAATTTTTAAAATTTTCCCCTGAACCAGAACTGAAAATCATATGTACAAGATAAACATGGCAGGTTTATCTCTGCTTCCTTCATGGATGACACGACATGCCTCTACATCACGAAGCATCAGAAAATAACCTTTTGCTATTATTAGATAATAACAAAAAATCTGTACTAAATTTGTCATGTGTCATCTCTATCAGCTGAAAAGAATGATCAGTTTGGAGTATATATACAGTAAATGTTTATTTCAAAGATGACACAAACACAGATACACATGTTTGAATAGACTGCTCTTGGGCTAGAAACTCTACTGAGAAAATTCTTCATCTCTGGATTTTAGGGGTCATTAAATGTTTGAATAATCCCTATCACTCATCTATCTCTCTATTGCATTTTTTCAGACATCCTCACTCAAGCACAGGGCATTTTAGTTTTCTTACTGATCTGTGCCTGTCTCAGTAGAAGCCCAGGCTACCTCAGAACCAGCTTGGGAGAATTGTCAAATATATAGCAACTGCTAGACATTCCCAAAACTACACAGGGGGTGGTACACACTGTCAGATAGCTGCCCGTAGAGGGAAGAATTCTATTTTACTTGGAGGCACCTTCTTCTTTCATAGGTATCACAGACGATCCTTAACTTATGATAGGGTTACATCCTGTTCATCCCAGGGCAACACTGTAAGTAAAAAATGAACTGGATACACCTAGCCCGCTAAATGTCTTAGCTTAGTGACTCATACATTATAGAGCATTGGGTGTTCACCATGTAACTAACTTCATGGCTGACTGGAATGCCACCATGGTCCAGCATTGTGAAAGAGAATTATACTGCATATCAGCAACACAGGAAAAAGCCAAAAGCCAAAATTGGAAGGGTTGATGCTCCTGGATACATATACTTTTGTACCATCCTAAAGTTGAAAGATCCTACGTGGACCGACTGAAGTGGAGGACCATGTGCAGAATGACAACCTCTGTAGCATTCACTGAGCACTAGATATGCCTTGATCACTCATATGCTCTGATTTGCTCTTTGTGTAGTGTGCTGAAGATGAGGAAACCCGGGACCTGGTGAGACTGCATGGAGGACTTAAACCCCTGGCCAGTCTACTGAATAAAACAGACAATAAAGAACGGTTAGCCGCTGTCACGGGGGCCATATGGAAATGCTCCATCAGCAAAGAGAATGTGACCAAGTAAGACAAGGCACTCAGTAGTCTGTAGTAAAGATATGGCCAAGAATTAGACATAAGGGCAAAATAGTTTCTGCCTGGAAGCAAGGGGGTAGCGGGGGAGAGGGGTGGGGTAGGGTGGTTAAGGGAGGGGGTGGGGGGAAGGGGAGAGAAATGACCCAAACATTGTATGTACATATGAATAAAAAAAAAAGATATGGCCAAGAAACACCTTCCTATAATTTAATGCTATTATTGTAAAGGGTGGGCTCTAATGTTACTTAGAGATGCATATTTTGGGTTAAGTTAGCAGAATGAAGGGATTCTTAGAAATAGAAGGCTCTTCCTCCCACCTTACAACTCAGGCAATGATTTGCTAAGGGGCTCGCTGACTGGATCTTTCTACATGAATAGGCTGTTTTGCACATGGACAACCATTTAAATTAGACACCTGGTATTTCCCCAGACACCTATCAAAGTGCAGGGATAAATTTTCCACTGAGTCTTTAGAGATGAAAGTACTTGCATTATTTTTCCTTTTCTAAAGATACAGAGGTGGAGTCAGCAGAAAGTCAACTAGCCACTCTTAAAGAGTAGTTTTTTTGTTTTTGTTTTTGTTTTTTTTTGCCATACTGGGATTTAAACTCAGGGCTTCACCCTTGCTAACCAGGTGGTCTACTAATAAAACCATACTTCCAGGCTTTTTTTACCCTGGTTATTTTGGATATAAGGTCTTGCTTTTTGTCCAGGCTTGTCTGGTTTGCTATCTACCTATTGCTCTCTAACATAGCTGGGATGTCCTCATGCCCAGCTTCTTCCATTGAGATGAGGTGTCACAAACTATTTTTTGCCCTGGCTGATCTTGATCTGCAATCCTCCCAATCTCAGCCTCCCAAGGAGTTAGGATTATAGGAATAAGCCACTGTGCCCAGTTTTCCATGAGTATCTTTAGGCAATTTCTTCTTGTCTCAATCTGATGGTTTCCATTAACAAGAAATTCACATGTCCTGACTATCACAAAATAAGTTTACTTAAGAATGTACAGGAAAGTAATACTAGATGAAAAGTAACCTCAGCTGATACAGTTTTTATCCTAATTGAAAGGTTTACCAAATTTCAACAAAAATTCAGCCATACCATGATACTGAAGATACTGCTGAAATTTATTAGAAAGGGAAAAATTCTATATAGGGTCTAGTAATTTTCAACTACTTTTTTATATCAAGAGTCTTTTTGGTTTACTAATATATACTGAAAAAGTTAAAGTGAAATTGAACAACAAGAGAGATGCTAACACTTATTAATGATTAACACTGAGGAGATTCGAGGCTGATAGATTTTTTAAATTCAAGTAGCACAAACTATTACTTATTTTGAGAGACTTATGAAACCCAACTAGGTACAATGAAGTTATGTTTAATGTGTTTAAAAATGAAAATATGTAATACATAATTCATTTCCATTAAATATTTAATATGCTTTGTCCATGTAAAGTTGTCTCCATAAGACTGGACAGAACTAGCAGAGTGGAATCACAGGGCTCAGATTTGGAGGAAACCATAGTTGTCTCAGAGGCTACACAGTTTGGTGACTTGGGGCACAGGTCTGGAGCAGAGGGCCAGGGATGGGTGCCAGCCTTACGATTTACCCAGCTTTAGGTTAGCCATCTGATAATGGTGGGGCTGCTGTACTGATCGAATGAACATGTGGTTAGCAATTCTTAGTTCTTATTTTTATTTTTATTGTGCTTAATATTATCAGCTAACTTTATACTAAAAATAATTTTCTCTCCTTCCTTCCTTCCTTCCTTCCTTCTTTCCTCTCCCCTTCCTTCCCATGACCTTAGGTTTCGAGAGTACAAAGCCATTGAAACTTTGGTGGGACTTTTAACTGATCAGCCTGAAGAAGTCCTTGTGAATGTGGTCGGGGCCTTGAGCGAATGCTGCCAAGAACATGAAAACCGAGTCATTGTCCGGAAGTGCGGTGGCATTCAACCACTTGTGAACCTCCTCGTTGGAATTAACCAAGCTCTTCTTGTAAATGTCACAAAAGCAGTTGGTGCGTGTGCAGTGGAACCTGAAAATATGATGTAAGTGGCCCTGGAAATGGAGAGATTTTATATGAGAGTGGTATGGGAAACATTTGGGTGCTCATAGAAAAGTGTCAGTACTTTGAACTGATGTGTACAAATGATGAAAAGCAAATGTATCATTATATAAAGTAATCACAAGCAGACTAAAGCAGGACTTAACGAGTCGAACTGTTACCTTTGATGAGCTGAAGGGCTGAGCTGGGCATTTGGGTGGATTTACAATAACCAGTAATCCATTTCCCATGTGGAAACCTTGATGCAATCAGCCAAATTCTTCTCTGCCTTTCAGAGACCAATTGTCTATCTTTCAGTGTAACTGGGGTCCTCTGTAACTCCAGGCAGCAATATTATAATACACTTGTCCTTGTTTCTTGCCAATTCAGCAAACATACTTGGAGCACCTAACTCTGAACTGGCAAAGTATTTTAAGTTTTTACCATAATCCTGAAGAAATTATTATTTATTGACAAAGTAAGACTTAAATGCAGACTGAAAATATTTGGAAAAATTGCCTATGTACCAAATATGTATAAACTTTTTGTTCTTGTTTTTACTTCCTACATAATATAACAGCTATTTACAAAGCATTTACATAATATGATGTATTATATTATATTAAGAAATCTGGAGATAAAATAAAGTGTACAGGATGCTGTGCATAGAGTCTATACAAATATGAGACCATTTTATGTAAGAGTCTTGAGTATCTACTTATTTTGGGGTCTGCAGGAGATCCTGCAGCCAATCCCCCATGGGTACCAAAGGACAACTGTTTATTTTTATTTATATATTTATGTATCTCTTCCTACCTACTTACCTATGTCCATCTGTGTATCTATCTATGAGAGAGAGAAACTCGTCTTACAGGATTGATTCATGCAATTGTGGAGGCTTGGTGAGTCCAAATGCTGATGGGGGTAGGCTGGCAGTCTGGCGATTCAGAAAGAATTGCAGTTTGAGTCCAAAGGCAGTCTGTTGGCAGAATTCCTGCCTGTCCAGGGAGGTCAGTCTTTGTTCTGTTAAGCCCTTCAAACAGATGATAGCCGTCTACAGTATGAGGGATGATCTGCTGTATTCAACATCTGCCACCTTGAATGTTAATCTCATACAAAAGAAACCCCACTTGCATGGAAACATCTGAATTATGCTTACCAAGTATATGAGCATTAGAACCCAACCAACTTGACACTTAAATGTAACCATCACAGACCCGTCCCTTGTCAACTTGGCACCCATGTGCATCTTTGTAAACCATATTTAATTTTAAATAAAGAAAATAACAAGATTAAACTTCTGCTTTACATGATATAACTATCCTGTATACAATTGAGAGTGCATTTCTCATTTCTCTAGAATTCCTTGGATGATATTTGCTCTTCTCCTTGATATTGTCCAATTTAAATACTACTGTTTAAAGTGAATAATGCTTAAATATAAGAACATGAGTTAATAAATCTCATGTTACGTGATGAAGAGGTACAGGAAGAAAGAAAACAAATGTCATGTGTAAACACACATAAGAAAGAAGTGTTCTTGACAACTATAGTCCTCACTTCTTTAACTGGTCACATAATTATAGCTGGTATCTATAACCTTTTCCCTCTGCCTGTTCTGAATTCCCTTTGCCCTTAGCAAGCACCTCACCTGGATATGGTTCTTTACCTGGTAGGCGACTCAAATCTTTATTTCTGGATGGTTTGGGCCTTTTGTAGTCCTGCCTGGATTGTGTCATTGTGGTTTTCCATTGACCTTCATAATAGATCATGGTAATAATAAGAGACACCTTAAGGGATCACCTGTATTCCACACATACTCTTCTTTTCCTCTCTAGTAGCATCCTAGTGTCTCCTTGATAGAATCAAACACCCCAGCCAGCACAGTACATTCCTTCTTGCCTACTGAGTTAGAGGTGTGAAAAGCCCAAAGTGACAGATGGCAGTTTTAACTTCCAGTACAGTGGAACCATTGCCATGTTTCCTAGTGCAAGGATTCCTTTCTTTGGAATTATGACCATAAGGTCGAAGGACAGAAAGTAAAAAATTTGCTACTGGGTAATAGTGAATAGTACCACTCTGATGCTTGGCTTCTTGGCCTATATATCTTGGTTATATTACTCAAATTTAGATGGCTCTATTGGCTTGACCTAAAGAATTCTAGAAGATCAACAGCCTTCCTTTATTTCTTCCCTTCTCTATCACCTTCAGTCCAAGATGGCAGTACTTAGCGAACATTGATTTTTGGGTCCAAGAATCACACCCATAATCTCTTCATTATATTGTTGTCCAGTAAGTGCATTAGTCAGCTTTTTGTTACCATTTTTACCATACATATGTAATGTATGAAGGAAAATTTAGTGAAGGCGTTGTGGTGAGGGTACTGAGTAGCTGGAGCACCTCATTGTGCTGACAGCAATGATGGGAGGGAGGGTGTGCAGAAGGAAGTGATGACATTTGGAACTGGGAGGAGAGAAGACAAAGGGGCCAGGTTTGGTCCTTCTGTAACAACTCTTTCACAAAAACTCCAAGCACTGCAGAGTAATTATCTCATGCCCCAGTGATCTAAATACCTACCACTAGACATCACCTCTTAAAAGTTCCACCACCTCCCAACAGAACCACACTGGGGACCAAGCCTTCAACACATGAACCTTTGAGGGGACACAATTAGATCATATCCAAATGACACCATCCAGCCACATCCTTGGTGTTCTTTCCCAAATATACTTTTTTCATTTTTTGCAATATGATAGATTGAAATTTTTCCAAATCTTCAAATTTGGCTCCATTTTACTTAACAATTCATTTTTCAATTTATTTCTTACTACATTTTACTATAAGCAGTAAGGAGAAAGTAAACCACACCTTCTACACTTTGTTTAGATATCTCCTCTGCTAAATATCTTCTACAAAAAAGTAGAAAACAATTCAGCCAAGCTTTTCTGTTACTTTATAACAGCGGTGGATTTTCCTCCAGTTTCACTGTCCATTTGAGACTTCACCAGAGTCACATTTGACCTCCATATTTCTAACAACAGTCTCTTCAAGGCAATGTAAGTTAGTTCTGCTGAAATGGCAGAAGTGTATTCTCTCACAGTTTTGGAGGCTGCATGTCTAAGACGAAGGTACTGAAAGGGTCGAGTTCTCCAACTCCTTTGATTCTATCAAGGCAAAGGGATCAAGTGAAGACTAAGTCAAATAATACTGATTAGTAGAAGTTTTCACACTACCAAGGAAACATTCTAAACTTATAATTTATGTTTCATAAATGGTAGAGAATGTAGTGATAGGGGTAGTAGTATAGAGCTTATATATCTCTATGGGCTTTATTTATTGATTGGTTGGTTGGTTGATTGATTGACTGATTTTGGTCATACTGGAGTTTGAACCAGGGCCTCTTACTTGCTAGACAGTTGCTCTACCACTTGAGCCATACCTAGCTCTTTCTTGCTTTAGTTATTTTTTTCAGGTAGGTCTCATGTTTTATGCTCAGACTACATCAAACCACAGTCCTCCTAATTAAGCTTCCCCAGTAGCTGTGATGATGGGCACATGCCACCACACCCAGATTTTTTTATTGAGATGACATCTTGCAAACTTTTTGCCCAGTCTGGCCTTGAAATGCAATCCTCCCAATCCTTGCCTCCCAAGTAGCTGGGAGCCATTATGCCCAGCTCTAATGGGTTTTATATTTGTGAGTTATTTATTGTTTTCTTTTAAATACATGTCTTTCCTGCATCATTTTACTCTGATTCACTTTTTCAAGAACTCTTTCTTTGACTTGCAGATGGCCACTCTCTGACTGTCTCTTTATATGGTCATCATTTTGTGTATACAGGCCTTTTGAGTCTCCCTGTGGTCCTAATCTCCTCTTTCTATAAGGGCACTTAACAGGTTGGATTAGGATCCACTATAATGACCTTCTTCTAACTTAATCACTTCTTTAAATGCCCTATTCCCAAGTAAAGTTTCGGGACCTAGGGTTTCAACATATGCATTTCAGAGGGACATAATTCAATCCAAAACAGATGTCATAATAGGTTCTTCAGGAGAAGTAGGGCTTAGGTGTATCCTTAATGAATGGATGGAAGAGTAGAGAAGCATGGTGGAAGGATATGAGTGGAGACCTGAGCAGTGAAGGGAGCACGCAAGGGTGGGTAGACAAATTTGAGAAAGAGGGGAGTAACTGAATAGGATACTGAGTCAACAAAACAGATGAAGTCAAAGAGAAGAGAGATCTGGATGGTAATTTTAGTTTCATGAAATCTCAGCAGTGTACCTTTTAATATCTTTGTGAACATTTAGTCCAGAGGTATTATGGAGGAAGAGTCAGTCTCTATACCTATCTGCTTACCCTGAATGAAGACAAAGCAAGGAAGGGAAATTTCCATTCACTCTGACCTCAAGGCCCCTACCCTGTCTGGAGAACTGCAACCCCTCTGATTCCACTAAGGAAAAGAGATAAAGGGCTGAATGATTCAGACAATGCTGATTAGTAGAAATGTTCGCACTACTAAGAAAATAGTTCAGAGTTATAATTTACATTTAATGAATAGTGCAGAGCATAGTGACAGGGTAGTAGTTTAGAGCCTATATTATTTCTAGTGGGTTATTGCTTTCTTTCAAATATGTGTCTATCGTGTGTCACTTCATTTTGAGTCACTTTTTCAACATGGGTGCCCAGGCTCTGAGATGCACCCTGAATACCTCTACAAGGTGCCATTCAAATTGGTACTTCATACAGAGCACCAGGCATTGCATGGCAGAGAACCAGGCAGGACTGGGCTTTGCTATTTTCTTCATTTGATTATTACAGAATGTTTATACCCTATGTGTGTATTCTCTGGTAGTACCTACTTTCTTCCTTTAGCTTACCTTCTTGGAATCTGAAGGGAAGAACTATTCAACCATTTAGTCCCTCTTTCTTCACAGGAAGCTGAAACTCTAGAAATAGTAGAACAGTTGTTTCTATTCTGCATGCTTATGACTGTGCAGCTGCAGGTCTTGTACACAAGCTTCATTG